AGAAACACTGATGAATCTTCCCCTGAGTTTAAAGACAACACATTTTACAGATCAGTTATAGGTTCACTCCTTTATATATCTAATTGGACTAGGCCAGATATTGCATTACCTCTCAATCTATTGTCAAGATATGTTAGTAAACCAACCTTGTATCATTGGGAAGCTGTCAAAAGAATTCTAAGATATCTGAAGGGTACATTAGATTTTTGTTTAATGTTGGAACCCAATAATGACAGAGAACCAAAAATTACTTGTTATGCTGATGCAGATTGGGCTGGTGATACATCATGCAGAAAGAGTACTTCTGGTTATGTTTTTCTATTGAATGATTGTCCAGTTACTGGTATACTGGTAAACAAGAACTAGTAGCCACTTCTACTACAGAAGCGGAATATGTTTGTTTGTCCAAGGCTGCAAATAACCTTGTATGGTTCAATGATCTGATCACTGATGTTTGGAAGAAACCCACCTTACCATTTATTATGCATGAAGACAATAAAGCGGCCATTGAAATATCCAGATCCGATGCAATTGGACAAAGGTCCAGGCATATTGATATAAAGTTTAAGCATGTGAGACAACTGTCTCAAGACGGATTCATTAAAGCAATACATTGCGATACTTCTGAACAATTAGCTGACATATTAACAAAACCCTTACCTTCTAAACAACACAAATATTTAACTTCTAAATTATATGTATTATATTGTCCTGAATCAGAATGTAATTGGTGTTGTGTAACGAACCGGCATTTAGAGGGGGATTTGTCAGATGTAAATGCCTTATTCTCCAATGTGTAAATAATGTATATATGGAACATCAGAGGTTAACTTATTCTTTGGACTTTAATGTATTCATAACTTACCACTCCCATTCCTAGCTCCACCCCTTGTATATATAAGGAGCCACCCTCACCATTCTCGTCGCTTCTACCTTGAATATTCAGTGAATATAGAATGCCTATCATAATTAAAAAGAAATATATTTAAAGCTTAACTCCTATTATCTTTATTGAGTCTGATCCTGAAAATATTGCAACAGGCCCGATTTTGCCCTCCCCAGGCTCCAGAGGCTTTCTTGGAGCCTGGGGAGGATGAAAACAGCCTCCCCGCCCCAAGGCTCTCCGGAGGCCGAAAACACCCTCCCAGAGTCTCCGCGTGAGCCCTGTATTTACCTGGCATCCAAAAGGGCCGGGTGGAGACTCCTGGGAGGGGAGGGGCGGAGTGGGTGAGCCCAGCCAAAAATCAGCTGGCTGCCGCACGCATGTGCGTTGGAGCTGAGCTAAGGCAACGGCTCGCGTGCCCGCAGAAATGGCTCCGCATGCCACCTGGGGCACGCGTGTCGTAGGTTCGCCATCACGGGTATAGGCCAGGGTGAAATGTAAAATTTGTTACTACTGGTTCTGTGGGCATGGCTTTGGGGGGGGGGTAATGTGACTGGGTGAACATGGCCAATTTTTTTTTTTTTTAACTTTTCAAAGCATTTTTTCTAATGCTTTGAAAAGCCTCTGCCGATCAGGCTACTCAGCTGGGATCGTCAGAGACTTTTCAAAGCATTTTTTTTACGGCCTCTTCGGCCAAGAGGTTGCAGAAAAAAATGCTTTGAAAAGCCTCTGAGGATCCCAGCTGAGCCGTGAGATCATCAGAGGCTTTTTTTAAAAAACTTTTGAAAGCATTTTTTTGTCGGAAAAGGATGTAGAAAAAATGCTTTTAAAAGTAAAAAAAAAAAAGCCTCTGATGATCGTGCGACTCAGCTGGGCATGGTGGGGGAGGGGGTGCAGAGATTTTTGCTACCGGTTCTCCGAACCACCCGTCGCCATTGCTATTGGATCAGGCGATCCAGTCCGAACCGGGAGCATTTCACCCCTGGCATAGGCTCTCCTGCTTGAACATGGTGAAATGTAAAATTTGTTACTACCGGTTCTGTGGGCGTGACTTGGTGGTGGTGGGGTAATATGACTGAGTGGGCGTGGCCAACTTTTTTTTTTTTAACGGCTGAAGAGGTTGTAGAAAAAATGTTTTTAAAGCCTCTGACGATCCCAGCTAACTTGCCTGATCGACAGAAGCTTTTTTTTTTTAAAAGCCTCTGACGATCCCAGCTGACTTGCCTGATCGGCAGAGGCTTTTTTTCCTTTCAAAAACATTTTTTCTATAACTTCTTCGGCCGAAGAGGTTGTAGAAAAAATGCTTTTAAAAGCCTCTGATGATCCCAGCTGAGCCGTGCGATCATCAGAGGCTTTTTTTTTTTTTTACTTTTAAAAGCATTTTTTCGGCCAAAGAGGTTGTAGAAAAAATGCTTTTAAAAATAATTTTAAAAAGCCTCTGATGATTGCATGGCTCAGCTGGGCAATGAGGGGGGGGAGCAGGGATTTTTGCTACCGGTTCTCCGAACCACCCACCTCCATCGCTACCGGATCGGGCGATCCGGTCCGAACCGGGAGCATTTCACCCCTGCTCCAAGGTCCCTTCCCGCTCTATTCTGATTGACCCTGAGGCTGGCCTTGTGCAACATCCAAAATTGCTAAAAGGAATAAACAAAAACCAAGTTAAAGCGAACCCAACCCCAAATGGAACCGTGTGGTCTAAATCCAACTTTTAAAAAAATGCATAATATTTTTTTTTTTGCTTGCCTGGGGAGGCAGAGCAGGGGATGGAAATTGACTTCTCCATTTCACGCGGAGCAATCATGCTGCATTTATCGCTTGGCGAGGAATCGTCTTTTGTTGAGTTTGATCCCAAGCCTGTGGGATTTAATGAAAAACGTCATGGTCCTTCTTTTCTTCTGCTGGTGCCCTTCAGAAGGTGATCCAGTTTGGAGTTAAGAGGAGGGGAAAAAGACGACTGGAGGGGGGAGGGCTGATCAAAGAAGAAGAGAAGGATTATTATTCTTGGAAGGAGCCAAATCTCAAAAGGGATATATTGCCAAGGGCAAATGGCTATGGGTAGTCCTTGACTTATGGAGCCTGCGAATTACAGTCGTAAGTCCCAACAGTTATAGAATAGAATAACAGAGTTGGAAGGGACCTTGGAGGTCTTCTAATCCAACCCCCTGCTTAGGCAGGAAACCCTACACCACTTCAGACAAATGGTTATCCAACATCTTCTTAAAAACTTCCAGTGTTGGAGCATTCACAACTTCTAGAGGCCAGTTGTTCCACTGTCAGGAAATTCTCTTTAGTTTTAGATTGCTTCTCTCCTTGATTAGTTTCCATCCATTGCTATAAAAAAAGATGTGGAGATTGTAGAAAGAGTGCAGAGAAGAGCAACCAAGATGATTAGGGGACTGGAGGCGAAAACATACAATGAATGGTTGCAGGAACTGGGCCTGGCTAGTCTAGTGAAGAGAAGGACCAGGGGAGACATGGTAACAGTCTTCCAATATTTAAGGGGCTGTCACAGAGAGGAGGCGGTCAAGCTATTTTTCCGAGGCACCTGAAGGCCAGACAAGGAATAACGGATGGAAACTGATCAAGGAGAGATTCAAGCTAGAAATAAGGAGAAATTTTCTGGCAGTGAGAACAATCAACCAATAGAACAGTTTCCCTTCGGAAGTTGTGGGAGCTTCATCACTGGAGGCTTTCAAGAAGAGTTTGGATTGGCATTTGTCAGAAATGGTGTAGGGTTTCCTGCTTGGGCGGGGGGTTGGACTAGATGACCTACAAGGTCCCTTCCAACTCTGTTAATCTATTACACAGACCAATCTGTTCTGTGACATACTGTAATTCCAGTCTGGGTAGCTGCAGGGTTAGGTCAAAAAAAAAAAAAATTCAAAATGGAAGCCAAGATGGCGCCTCTGGTTTTCGCCCTTTATTAATGGGCCTCGCAAATATATAAACAAGCACATATATAAACAAGTTTCTCACTAGCAGGCTGGTTGATAAGCTGAGATGGACATTGTTGGAACTATTTTGAAGGCAAAACTTGCAAATATTTACTACTAGTAGAACACCCATGCTTCGCTACAAAACTATGTGCTCGGGCTTGATAAATTGACACTTGCAGCCCGAAACTTATTGTAGAATGTGTAACTCCGTAGCATCAGAGTGTGTTAATACAATGCAACTGGCAGTTGGAACAGAAGGGGAGGGCGAGTAGAATGTCCCAGCCTGCAGCATCCATCAGTATTCATCTGCTAGCATCCTGCCAGTTTGTGAGAGAGTTGAGGGGTGTTTGGAAACTAAAACAGTATTTGCTGTGTGAACAAGAAGGAGACAGGAAGGAGCCTGGGCATGGCTTAGCTCAATTGTTCTGTAGTAAAGCTGCTTGCTGCTGTGAAAGTAAAACTGAAAGTGAAACTCCTCTCCTCTGCTTGTGTTTTGCATTTGGAACAGATTTCTTTTGAGGTGGGGAGGGGGAGTAAAACTCCTTAGTATCAGAGCGTGTTAATAATAATATAGGAAATACTAATGCTCTGATGGTCATTTTGAAAAATCCTTTCTTAGTGAGCACCTAGAAGCCAAGAGGAACATACGTGACAAATTTCAAGTTTGTAGGCTTTAAGGTTCTGGAGATTTCGTGATTAATGCATGAGTGGTTTTCGCTTTTATATATATATAGATGAAGGTGGTGGAAGAAATGTCCATCTGGGTTCAGTTCCAAGTGGGGAGAAAGGTGGCTGATTGGAAAAAAGGTTTTTAACAGTGGACAGGATGACATGGCTTGAGATCCTGGGCAGAAAAAGGGAAGAGATGCTGAGAGTGCCTGGGTTTTATGCCCTATGTTGGGCTTTGAATTTGAGCTTGTGTTCTGATTGGTTGTCAGACTCCCATGGGGCCATGCAGGGGTTGTCTTTTTGAATCCCAGGCTTGGTTGAGCCTTGCTGGGTGATGATGAAATGAAAGGGCTTTGGGCAATTCCTACTATGGCTGGCTCAGGAATTCTGGGAGTTGAAGTCCACAAGTCATAAAGGGGCCATCGTTTCCCACCTCTGATCTAGAGGCACGCTGGGCATTTCTACGTGAACCTTCTTAATTGACCCCTCTGGTTTCTTCTCTTTCACAGGTAAATGTTGAAGACACCATCGAAATGCTACCCAAGTCCCGGAGAGCGCTGACCATTCAGGAAATTGCAGCCCTCGCTCGATCTTCCTTGCATGGTAAGAGGTAGAAGACGCCAGCCATATTCTCACAACCATCTGAGTTTTAACTTTAGCAAGGTTTGGTTTATGGCTCAGAGGAGACGTGCAAGTCCAGGAAATGGGACTCAACAAGAGTCTAACCAAGATTTGATGACTGAAGGGAAAGTGAAGTAGAAAGTGTTGGAAGAAATATCCTTCTGGGTTCAGCTCCAAGTGGGGAAAAAGACACTGGAAACATGGAGACTGCTTGGAAAGATGGTTTAATGGTGGACAGGACCACATGGTTTGAGTTCCTCAACAGAAAAGGGGCAAGACACAGTGAGTCCCTGGGTTTTATGCCCTCTCTGGCTTTGAACTTCCTGGGGCCCAGAAAGAGTATCCTGATTGGTTGTCAGACTCCCAGGGGATGGGGGGTCTTAGCTAGCCTTGCTGGCTGATGTAATCTTCCCAGGTGCCATGTGGTGAGTTTCTGTTGCTAGATGGGTCCTATTGTGTTGCAGATGATGGTCCATTGACAAAGATTGAGTTTCTGCCTCTGGCCCATTGACAAAGGGTGGGGGCAGGAAGATGGGAGCTGCTTCGTCTTTAAAACATGCTTCTCCATTTCTCATCCAGGGAAACATAATATTCTGTCTTTTTAATATTTCCTAAAATATTTTATTCTTCTTTCAAAGCATTTATTTTACCACCTCTTCGGCCAAGAGGTTGGAGAAAAAAATGCTTTGAAAAGCCTGACGATCTCAGCTGAGCCGCGTGATCATCAGAGGCTTTTTTTTTTAACTTTTAAAAGCATTTTTTTGTCGGAAGAGGTTGTAGAAAAAATGCTTTTAAAAGTAAAAAAAAAAAAAAGCCTCTGATGATCGTGCGGCTCAGCTGGGCATGGTGGGGAGGGATGCAGGGATTTTTGCTACCGGTTCTCCGAACCATCCTCCGCCATCACATTACGGATCGGGCGATCCGGTCCGAACTGGGAGCATTTCACCCCTGATGTTAGCGTTCATAGTCCATGAGAGGTCCTCCGAGATATAAATGCCCAGAAATTTAAAACTACCAACCGTCTCCACCTCATCGCCATTTATGGACAAGGGTAAATGTACATTTCTCTTCCTCCTGAAATCAATTATAAAGGGCACTGGAAAATATTCTGAAGTGATTTCTGCCAAGGGTGCGTGTGTTTTGTGTGTGAAAATCCAAATAGCTTAAGGGTTGATGCCCTTATTTATAATACTTATTGTGTTGTACCATTGTATTAAATCTTTTACCAATTTAAAAAGTTTTAAAGTACGTGTATGTATTTGTTTCAGCCTGCTATTGTTGCTTTGTTTCTCTCGTCGCAGTTTTTTTATTGTCTTCCTATTTGTAGGTCAACCTGATCCACGAGGCCTCTCAAGCAGTGTTTTCCAAATTTGGCAACTTGAAGATGGGTGGACTTCAACTCCCAGAATTCCCCAGCCTGGGAGTTGAAACACACCCATCTTCAAGATGCCAAGATTTTCCAATCTTGGCATCTTCAAGTTGCCAAGATTGGAAAAACAACTGCTCTAAAATCTCTTTCCCCATAGCCTCCTAAATTAAACGGCTTTTCTCCTTTCCAGCAAATGCTGTCCACCCGCATCGCAAATATGAAAACATTAAAAATATGAATGCATGCAGAAACAAAAGCCTATCTTCATTAACAAAGGTCATGTCAGTCATACAGAAGGGATGAAGGGAGTTCAAAACAAGCCATGAATCACGGATTTAGCTCTTTTAGAAGAACGAGTCTTCCTTAAAAACATGAAATATGTTAATTATCAGAATTCCAAGTGATGTAATTCATGGTCGCCAGCATCCTTCTCAGGATGGGGAGCATCCTAAAAGGGGAAAGCGACACACCATCTCAGGAACTCCAGGGCATCTCCAGCTAATGCTGTCTGTTTGTTCGGTTGCAGGTATTTCCCAGGTGGTGAAGGACCATGTGACCAAGCCCACCGCCATGGCGCAAGGCAGGGTAGCCCACCTGATCGAGTGGAAGGGGTGGTGCAAACCCATCGATTCTCCTGCAACCTTGGAAAGCACCTTCAACTCCTATTCGGATCTCAGTGAAGGAGAGCAGGAGGCCAGGTTTGCTGCAGGTGGGACTGCGAGGGAGGGGAAATCAGGTGGGGGTGGGTGGGAACTCCCTCAGGGAAGTCCCTTAGGCTAGATCAGTGTTTCTCAATTAAGATATGTAGCCTTCAACTCCCATAATTCCACAGCCAGCAAGTGTGGACTTCAGCTCCCAGAATTCCACAGCCAGTATGCGTGGACTTCAACTTCCATAATTCCACAGCCAGCACGTGTGGACTTCAACTCCCATAATTCCACAGCCAGCACATGTGGACTTCAACTCCCATAATTCCACAGCCAGGACATGTGGACTTCAAATCCCAGAATTCCACAGCCAATATTTGTGGCCTTCAACTCCCATAAGTCCACAGCCAGCAAGTGTGAACTTCAGCTCCCAGCATTCCCCAGTCAGCATGCGTGGACTTCAACTCCCATAATTCCACAGCCAGCATGTGTGGACTTCAAATCGCAGAATTCCACAGCCAGCAAGTGTGAACTTCAGCTCCCAGCATTCCCCAGTCAGCATGCGTGGACTTCAACTCCCAGAATTTCAGAGCCAACATGTTAGTTGAGGAATTCTGGGAGTTGAAGTCAACTCATCTCCATGTTGCCAAGGTTGAGAAACACTGGTCAGCTTTGCTGGCTGTGGAATTCTGGGAGTTGAAGTCCGCCAGGCTTAAAAGTTGCCAAAGTTGGAGACCCCTGGCCTAGACTACGCCAGAAATTTAATGCCAGATCTGAGCTGCAAGAGCCAAAGCTGATACTATCTGGAAGCAAAGAAAGAGTCCTTTCTCTCTCTCTCTCTTTCTCTTCATTTGTCTGAAGTGGTGTAGGGTTTCCTGCCTAAGCAGGGGGTTGGACTAGAAGACCTCCAAGGTCCCTTCCAACTCTATTCTATTTCGCCATCTAGTGCTTTGTGTTGGTTTTGCATCAAATCTAGGCACCAATATTTTCCTGTGTTTGACAGCTGCATATTTTCCTGTATGTAGTAAACCATATTTAGTCGCTGGTTAGTGGTGCGTTTGGGGAAGAAAGACCCATCTCTGCTAAGCAGCTGCCCAGTAGCGGGATGCACATGGGGTGATTTACAGGCACATGGGTTGCGTGCTTCTCCTGACATTCTTACTCACGGGGAAGATAACCATTGCTTATCCAATTGAGCCCATTTTCTGTATGCTCAAGTGATGCTCGGATCTATTACTTGACTGGTGAATCCGCAGCTATTGAATCCTTTGTTCCTGAAACTTCTCAGCCTTCAGATCTTCTGGAGAAGTTCAGGAGGCCATTTGATGACTTCCCCAGAAAGGTCACATCCAATGATGGGATTCAGCCAGTTCGCACCACTTGATGGGCATGGCAGGGGAAGGATACTGTAAAATCTCCATTCCCACCCCACTCCTGGGGGAAGGATACTGTAAAATCTCCATTTCCACCCCACTCCAGGGGAAGGATACTGTAAAATCTCCATTCCCACCCCACTCCTGGAGGAAGGATACTGTAAAATCTCCATTTCCACCCCACTCCAGGGGAAGGATACTGTAAAATCTCCATTTCCATCCCACTCCTGGGGGAAGGATACTGTAAAATCTCCATTTCCAACCCACTCCTGGGGGAAGGATACTGTGAAATCTCCATTTCCATCCCACTCCTGGGGGAAGGATACTGTAAAATCTCCATTCCCACCCCACTCCAGGGGGAAGGATACTGTAAAATCTCCATTTCCACTCCACTCTTGGGGGAAGGATACTGTAAAATCTCCATTTCCACCCCACTCCTGGGGGAAGGATACTGTAAAATCTCCATTTCCAACCCACTCCTGGGGGAAGGATACTGCAAAATCTCCATTTCCACCCCACTCCTGGGGGAAGGATACTGCAAAATCTCCATTCCCACCCCATCCTGGGGGAAGGATACTATAAAATCTCCATTCCCTCCCCACCCCACTAACCTGCTTTCCAGCTCCGTTCTCCTGTGCAGGGCAACCAAAGAAGACCCAGCCAATCAGCTGGGACTTGGGAGGCAGCGAATAGATGGGGGCGGGGCCAGCCAGAGGCGGTGTTTGACAGTTCTCCGACCTAGTCAAAATTTCTGCTAGGTTTGCTAGAATCGGTCAGAACCGGCTGAATACCACCTCTGGGCCCTGCGTGCTAGATCTAAGCACCCCACAGCAATGGTGGGTTGCTTCCGGTTCGTCCTGGTTCGCCCGAACTGGTAGCACCGGCGGCGGGAGGCTCTACCCCACCTGGACGTCATGAAATACAATCTGCGCATGTGCAGAAGCTTCTGCGCATGCGCAGATGTGGTTTGCGCGCGAGCGAAGTGAGAGTGCGCGAGAGAGCGAACCAGTAGCAAAGGTAAGTGAGACCCACCCCTGCCCCATGGGCCAGATCCGTCCCCCAGGCCTTGAGTTTGACACCCTTGAGCTAGATAGAACCAAAACCGAAGGAGAAATGAATTCCAGGCTGATGTTTGGAGGTCAAAGTCATGATTGTTTAATTGCATTTTGTCTGGATATTTTATAAATGTTTCCCACTGCTCATTTGCTACCTTAATCAGATCCTAGTAGAAGTAAGTGTTGGGAGGAAGTTCATTAAGGCTTAATTAGTTCATTAAGACTGGTTCCTAGCTACGGTTTGTTTCTGAGTGGTTCTGATGAATAACAGGGGAACTTTGCTTGCAAATAGAAATAAATATGCATAGGAAAACCTGACATTAAATCACGGGAAATCATGGCCTCAAATCAGGGCTGGGCGGTTGGGGGATCGCAGGGGTTCGGGAGAACCTCTAGCTAAGATTCTGTGCAGTTCGGAGAACCCCCAAATCCCACTCCTGGCTGGCCCTGCCCCTCCCAGGAATCCACACACGGCCTGTTTTGGATGCAGGTAAGTGCAGGACAAGTGTGGCGGCTCGGGGAGGGTGAAAAATGGGCCTACCAGAAGTTCGGGAAGGACAGAATGAGCCTCTGGAGGGTCTCCGGAGCCTGGGGAGGCCGTTTTCGCACTCCCGGAGGCTCGAGGAAAGCCTCAGGAGCCCAGGGAGGGCAAAAACGACCCTCACGCCATGGTGCAGGAGGCTGACTAGGCCACGCCCACCATGGCCACGCCCACCCAGCAGCCGGGCAGAGAATCTCTTGCTAAAATTTTTGAAGCCCATCCCTGTTTCAAATACTAGCGTTTCACACAAACAGAACTGTTTACTTCCATTCAGACAATGCAGGGTAGTTAACTTCTTGCTGGAATCCAAAGTTTCATCCATTTCAGACCTAGCTGAATCCTTGGTGCATGTGACTTCACTCACTTACATGTGGGTGGGGTGGGGGTGGGGGGGGAAACGATGGCTGTCATGTCCCCCAGCATATAATTTGTGTATATAGCAAGAACAGAACAGAATGGCCCTTTTATGACTTGTGGACTTCAACTCCCAGAATTTCTGAGTCAGCCATGCCAGCAATTTAACTACCAGTCTGCCCCAAACTAGCTCAAACCGGCTGAATCCCATCACTGGTTCTATACTAGCTCAGTCCATGGGCCAGCCAAGCCAGGGGCGGGTTCTAAATTTTTTTTACTACCGGTTCTGTGGGCGTGGCTTATTTTGTGGGCGTGGTTTGATGGTCATGTGACAATTCTTTAGGATTTAGCAGTGGTACTGGTCTACCAGGCTTTTAACTGCTTGCAGAGCCGTACTGGTTTACCTATTTGTATTTGGAGCGCACTGGTCTACCACCACACTGCCTTTTACCGCTGATCAGCTGTAGGGCGGCCCTTTGAAGCGCCGCGGCAAGAGTTTAAACAGTTTTTTTCCTTCTAGCCGATCAGCTGGGACTCAGGAGGCAGCGAATAGATTGGGGGCGGGGCCAGGCAGAGGTGGTATTTACCGGTTCTCCGAACTACTCAAAATTTCCACTACCGGTTCGCAAGAACCGGGGAGAACCGGTAGCAACCCACCACCGATCCAAGCCCATCTGAAATTTTCCCAGGTTTGGAGCATATACTGAATGAAAATGAGTGCGCTGCCTCCTGATTTTTTTTTAAAGCAGAAACAAGGGCCCAGAAAGGAACCTCACTCATGCCGTGGGGTTCACACACTTCCTTTTCCATCCGTTCAAAAAAATCTTACTTCCAAGAACGAGGCTGTTTTACCATTCACGTTTTTAAGCCTCTCTTTGGAAGCCGCAGCTTTGGCAAACCAAACCCACAGCACAGTTAAAATGACACTTCCCCTTTAAAAAAAAAAGTTTTTGCAGGTTTTGGGCATCGGATGAAGCTGGCAATTTCATCCCCGAGGTTTGTTTTCATTGTGGTTGGCTGGGCTGCTTTGGGCAACGTTTGAACGATTGGCACCCAGAGAGACGGAACAATGTCACCGTTTGCCTGGGGAGATGTTTCTTCTCTTGAATCACCAAGGTTTTTCTTTTTAAAAAAAAAAATAGGTTGGTCAGCAGTGGTGGGTTTCAATTTTTTTTACTACCGGTTCTGTGGGTGTGGCTTGGTGGGCGTGACATAGCTTGGTGGGTGTGGCAGGGGAAGGATACTGTAAAATCTCCATTCCCTCCCCACTCCAGGGGAAGATTACTGCAAAATCCCCATTTCCTCCCGATCAGCTGGGACTCGGGAGGCAGAGAATAGATGGGGGCGGAGCCAGTCAGAGGTGGGATTTACCGGTTCTCCGAACTACTCAAAATTTCCACTACCGGTTCTCCAGAACTGGTCAGAACCTGCTGAACTACTTAGAACTACGCCGACTTCAGTCTGACCTAAGCATAGTACATAAAATTATCTGCCACAATGTCCTTCCTGTCAATGACTACTTCAGCTTCAACCACAACAATACACGAGCAAATAATAGAGACAAACTCAAGGTCAACCACTCCAAACTTGATTGCAGAAAATAGGACTTCAGTAACAAACTGGTCAATGCCTGGAATGCACTACCTGACTCTCTGGTTTCTTCCCCAAACCCCCAAAACTTTAACCTAAGATTGTCTACTGTTGACCTCACCCCATTCCTAAGAGGTCTGTAAGGGGCG